CAGTTCAGTGTGTAAGCCTTATTTTGGATCAAAGGTCTCTGTGTTCTCTCAGCTGGATAATTACCAAAAGACTTGAATGCCTTCCCACACAGCTAAGAGCTGCGGTATGACTTTCAGACAGTAAGAATAACCAGAATATTAAGAAAACAATCCAAGATTCAGGGACCTGGAGCTCCAGCTTTCCATCCACGTGTTTTACTGTTTTCCCCATGGATATGCTCTGTGTGTGTGTGTGTGTGTGTGTGTGTGTGTGTTTAAAGTTTTTCTGTAATATTATGCTGCGTTGATGTCTTCAAAGCCTTTCTAGCTAGGAAGAGAATGCCTTTCTGAGTCCAGCCAATTCTGGGAGGCACAATGGTCCCAGCCTGGAGTACACCTGTGAACTACAAGTCAACTCATCCAGAGCTGGACTCGTGTGCCTGTCCATACGCAAGAAGAGTCCATAATCCTCTGCTGCAGGTAACAAGAGACCATTCCTATGGCTTAGAGCCTGCAGACTGAAGTGTTTCACTAAACCATATAATAGAAAGCTGTTTATGGCTGAACACTGGTAGCTTACACCTATAATCTTAGTGGCTCAGGAGGTTGAGATTTGAGGATCACATTTTGAAGCCAGCTGAGCAGGAAAGTCTGTGAGACTATAATTAACTAGCAAAAAAAAAACTCAAAACAACAATAAAAAACCCAGAAATGTAGGTGTAGCTTAAGTGCTAGAGTACCAGTGTAGAGCGAAAAAGTTAAGGAATAAGGAAGAGCACAGGCCCTGAGTTCAAGCTCCAGGACAAGAAAGGAAGAAAGAAAGAAAGAAAGAAAGAAAGAAAGAAAGAAAGAAAGAAAGAAAGAAAGAAAGAAAGAAAGAAAGAAAGAAAGAAAGAAAGAAAGAGAAAGAAGGGAGGGAGGGAGGGAGGGAGGGAGAGAGGGAGGGAGGGAGAGAGAAGAAAGAAAGAGAGAGAAAGAAAGAAAGAGAGAAAGAAAGAGATAAAAAGAAGGGAAAAAAGGAAGAGAAAGAGAGAGAGGGAGGGAGGGAAGGAAGGAGGGAGGGAAGAAGGGAGGGAATTAGGAAGGAATGGAGGGAGGGAGGGAAGAAGGAAAGAAAGAGAGAGAGAGAGAGGGAGGAAGGAAGGAAGGTGCTTAAGCTTAAGCATGAAGGTGATTAAGACCAGCGATTCACAAACCGTGCACCCTACCCTGCTCTACCTTGCCTTTCTAGAGGAGTCCTCAGAAGGACTCTAATCTCAGTTTTCCTCTTGCTCTTATTTTCTGCCTCTTGACCACATGAAGGTGCCCCATCTCACCCCTGCATGGGATCCCAAGACTCTTATCTCCAGGACATATAACTATAATGTACTTTGTAATTATGGTCTTTTCTTTGTTTCCTCTTGCATTTGCATCTGACTGATCAGCACAGAATAAGAAGTGGGGGAAATGGAGGCATGTTTCACATGCTTTGTAAGATTCTTTGTGGTGTTAAAGTTCAATGGTTCAATGAAGGTTTGTGATATGATAACCACGTGAAATACCATTCTCTATGTTTTCCTTACCACCACCTCTATCTTGCTCAGGTCTGGTTGCTTCCACAAGCTCTTCCTCACCCTTTACTCTGTGGGGTGGTGGCTGAGGAGACCCATCACATTCCCACAGAGGCCTGGGCTGTGTTACAGCACTCCCTCTCACTAGGGTATAATTGTCTGGAAATTAATTTGTGAGTTCCCAGCTCCTTTGCAAATGTAGAAGCCAACTTTTAGGGCCACATCCTCAACACTCATGTCCAGCAGGACCTCAGGATCTCTATGAAACAATGACACAAGTGAATGATCTCCAATAGCCATGACCCACATAGCACACACATAATGAATCTGATTATAATATTATTAAAGGAAAAGATAGGGGGAAAAAAACCTTCCATTTTTATGATCTAAGAAACCCAGACTATTACACATAGCTAGCTCAGTTCTTATTAAGAAAACTAAAGAGCCTTTGCCTTCTTTTATGTGCTCTCCAAATTAATCTAAGATCTGATTGTCCCAAAGTGTTAGTAATTATACAGTGCTATCATTTATATCACAGAATTGAAAATAACATACATATCCAAGCACACAGTGATGGTTAAATAAACAGTGGCATGCTCAACAGATAAATTGTCCTTTGGGCTTTAACAATTTATATCTACAGTATAATCTGAAGTTAAGGGCAAGATAAAAAATTACATATGCAGTGTAACTGCTATCATGACAAATATATCAAATGTACGCATACAAACTGGATATTACTGGTGGCTGTATTATCCTCTCTCTACTACAAATTTTTCAGCTCTCTCTTTTTTCTTTCTTCCTTTTATTTTCTTTATTTGTGTGCAGATACCAGGGCTTGTATTTAGGGCCTGGGTGCTATCCATTAGCTTTTTTGCTCAATGCTTGTGCTCTACCACTAAAGCCTTTCTTCCACTCAGGCATTTTTACTGGTTAATTAAAGATGGAGTCTCAGAACTTTCACAGGCTGGTCTTGAACCTCGATCCTTAAATCTCAGCCTCCTGAGTGGCTAGAATGACAGATATGAGCCACCAGCACCTAGATGTCAGGTTTTTTTCTTTCTTTTTTTTTTTGGTCCAGTCGTGGGGCCTGAACTCTGGGCCTGAGCACTGTCCCTCAGCTCTTCAGCTCAAGGCTAGCGCTCTACCACTTGAGCCACAGCGCCACTTCCGGCTTTTTGCTTTTTGCTTATGTGGTGCTGAGGAATCGAACCCAGGGCCTCATGCATGCAAGGCAAGCGCTCTACTACTGAGCCAACTTCCCAGCCCCGTCAGGTTTTTCTTAAATGACCTTTAATATATTACTCTCAGGATGACACATCGAAATCAACAAATCATTTTCTTGCTCATTGAAAACATCCCATTATTTTCTGCTCCAAATTTAGTCTGTACATATGAAATGAGTCTACCTGGAAGAGCTTTATTGAGGCACAAAACTAGATGACCCTATAGGAAAAGCAATAGAAGTGATAGGAGACATATGGAATCTTCTTTTTTTTTTTTTTTTTTTTGCCGGTCGTGGACCTGAACTCTGGGCCTGGGCGCTGTCCCTCAGCTCTTCAGCTCAAGGCGAGCGCTCTATCTCTTGAGCCACAGCACCACTTCCAGCTTTTTCTGTTTATGTGGTGCTGAGGAATCGAACCCAGGGCCTCATGCATGCAAAACAAGCGCTCTACCACTGAGCCACCTTCCTAGCCCACATATGGGATCTTCTAACACAATGTCCAGGTAATTAATAATCCTCATGGCTGACATTCACGAGCTCTTAGTATGAGGCCCAAATTTTCCCTATTTTTGTTTTCATAAAAGCTATGGTAGATGGCTATCACTGTTACTCCAATTTTATAGATGAATGCAGATGTAGGGTGCTTAATTCCCTATGGTTAGGGGGAGCATGGGGTTTGATAGAGGTAGTCCACCTCCATGGTCTGCCATTTTCTCGCTCCATTTGTGTTTCCTTCAGTGTAAGTAAAAGGAAAGGCTGCCAGGGGAAAAAAAATTCCAGTATAAACCATCCTTCCTTCATGCAAGAATTCTTGTGTTGGATGGTGGCCATGGCTTCTGTTTCCATTTTATGCTCAAACAGACTATGTGCTGCTAAGTCCTCAGACAACTCTGACCTATCAGAGACAGTCTTTAGAAACCACTTATCTACACATAATAGTCAGACCAGAGAATGATCTAAAAGTTGTTGTCTTTACATATAAATCCAGTACATTAGGAACAACAAGTCCATTGATGGAAGTTAGTATGGCCAGTTTCAGACTCAGACCAACCAGGACATGGTACATGCCAGCTTTCTAATGAAAAGGTGACCAAGGGTGGGCCTTCTGGTTGCTAGAACAACCCAGACACAGGCCATCTTTCTTCATGTGTTTGTTGAAAATATTTTCACTATGAATACTGACCAAATGAATACACTCAGTTGACACTAATTTGGTTATGCGGGTACTTTGAGGCTTCCTGTTTCATGGTCTTATTTTTCTGTACTCAAAACATTAGTGATACATATATATCTCTATCTATCTATCTATTTATCTATCTATCTATCTATATCTATATATATTGGGCTGGAAAGGTGGCTCAGTGGTAGAGTGCTTGCCTCACATGAATGAGGCCCTGGGTTCAATTTCTCAGCACCACATGCACAGAAAAACCTAGATGTAGCGCTGTGGCTCAAGTGGTAGAGTGCTAGCCTTGAGCTGAAAAGTTGAGGAACAGTACCTAGGCCCAGGGTTCAAGCCCACGATGTACAAAAAAAAAAAAAAAAAAAACAAAAAAGAAAGAAAAAAATTAGTGATATAACATTTCCATGGGTGAGAGGGGTGTCTGGGAGAAAACAGCAGAAGACAGCAGGATACTTGGAGAAAAGTGGTTCTGTTGGAGACAAGTGTGTCACTAAAATAAAGCAAGACACCCTCCCCCCACACCTCTGGCCATCCCAGGAAAACATAGTGAGATTCCTTGAAATCCACCAACTGGTTCATTTCAAGACTGGTCAGAAGGAAAAGATGCTGGCTTTAATGGAAATCTATTACAGTGAAACTTAAACGTCAACATAAACTTGCCAACAGAAAGAATTTAATGAGCAAAAAGAAATTGATTTTTTTTTGGGGGGTCCAGTCGTGGGGCCTGAACTCTGGGCCTGGGCGCTGTCCCTCAGCTCTTCAGCTCAAGGCTAGCACTCTACCACTTGAGCCACAGCACCACTTCCGGCTTTTTTCTTTTTGCTTATGTTGGTGCTGAGGAATCGAACCCAGGGCCTTAGGCATGCAAGGCAAGCACTCTACCACTGAGCCACCTTCCCAGCCTGAAATTGATTTATTTTTAAGGCGGAGGAGGAGAGCCCAACAAGGTCCAGTCTCCTGGGGTATGGAACAAGAGGGGTATGGAGCAGTCACTGCGCCTCCTTGGGCTCGGTCTCTTGCCTGGACCCCAAGCAACGACTGTCTAGGAGCTCCATTGACTTACTTTCTCTGGAACTGGACCACAGGGTCCGCCAGCAGGTCCGTGACGTCAAGGTTCCGTCCCTTCTCGATGACATCTGGATGCTTGCGCACCAACAGCCACCCGATGTGGGAGAAGAAGAAGCCTCGGCGGGCGTTGTGGGGGTCAGCGTCTGTCTCTGAGTACTTGTGGTGGGCGCGGTGGTCCCTCGCCCACTCAAAGATGTCATTCTGCAAGGAGAAAGCAGAGCCTGAACCAAGAGGCAAAATGCCAAATGCCTTTCTGGAAATGTTCCCTCCCCTGCTCACTTCTGTTTCCCTCCTATCCTGCACCTCAAGTCTAAGCCCTGAGTGTGGTCAGGGTGGCTTTCCTCAGCAAGGGTAAACCCTCATTTGTGTTTGGAATGTGCCCACTGAGGAGGCTCACATTGGTAGGTGAATACATGGAGAGACCTGGAATGCTCCGAGGTCTCTCACATGGTGTTACTAAGAAGATCATTTCTAACAGAAAACTTGAGGCCCAACCTCAGGATGGAGTTTGGCTGGTCGGAGGAGGAGGCAACATGGAGCAGGTTAGGAGAGTGTGTTGTTGGTTCCAGACTGGGATACTTCTGCTTCCCTCCCAGTTTCAATGACCTTCATAGCCCATTCAGGGAGAGAATTTAAAAAGTTAAAAACCCTCAGAGGTACTTGTCCAGATCTCTACTAAATACTCAAGTACAAGTGACATTGACTATGACTTTTCTAATAGAATATCAGAAAGGGAGGGGAGAAAATGTCCAGTCCAGCCAGAATTTGGTGCATTTGCCAGTCTCCACCAAGCACTTACCCATTTATCAGAACCTAAGGGTCAGGACATACACCCTACTGAGACTCTTACGATGGAAGATATTGAAAATATATCTGGGGACTGGAGGTCCTGGGTGAGTGTCAGGGACAAGGCAGGTCGTTCTAATTAATGAGACCCTATCTATAGCCATGGCCTGTTGGATCTGTAAACATTCAACTGATATTATTTGGTGTGTTTGTTTTATTCTAACAATGCTTTCCAAAAACGTTGAGGCAAATGAGATTAGGAAACAGTGCTTTTGATAGGAAGTTCTAAAAATAGAAAAAAATCAATAGTAATTAAATCTTTTTTTTACTTAAATCATTTCCATACTGCAATAGTGTTTTATTTCATAATATTCGAGATTATTTTATAGGAGCAATTCATATTGTTCTTATAGGGACATTTCCAAGATACTGGCTTCATCCTTGTGATGAGAAGGAAAGGGATTGTTTCATTCTTAATATATCAGCAGTTCTTCTAATCCAAAGAAGGTTCCTGAGTTTTGGTTTCTTTGGTTTACTCAATGCTGCTACAACCTACTTAGGTTTTCTTTTAATTTCTTAAAATATAATTCTATTGTTGTTATTAAGGTGTTGTACAACAGGCTTGCCATTTCATAAGTCAGGTAAAGAATGAGTGCGTTTCTTTTTTTTTGACAGTGTCACCCCTTCCTTTACTTTCCCCCAGTTTCTCCCTCCTGTCCCTGCCTACAAGTGGCATATACATATAAGTATACACTAATATCATGAGTGCACTTGTTCATCCATCCTCCTTCACTTTGGCCCCCACCCAAAGACCAAAACACCCAAAGCAAAAACAAACAACAAGAGCTTACCTAGTTTTGTTCATCTCATAGCTCACTGTAAAAGACTTTATTTTACTTAACACTTGAATAATGGGATAGAGAAGAGAGAAAAGAGGTTGAAGAAAGTGAGCACAGTGAGGCATGCCTTTAATCCTAGCACGGTTCAAAGCCAGCCCAGGCAGGAAAGACCGTGAGACTCCTAACTCCAATAAACCACTAGAAAACTGGAAGTGGCGCTGTAGTTCAAGTGGTAGAGCGCTTGCCTTGAGCTGAAGAGCACAGGGACAGCACCCAGGCCCAGAGTTCAAGTCCCACAGCTGACAAAACAAAAACAAGCTTAGTGCTAAATTGGAAGAAAGAGATCTTCTTCATCTTTTTTTTTGGGGGGGGGTCCGATCTTGGGGCCTGAACTCCCTGTCTCAACCTCTCAAGTAGCTAGGATTACAGATGTGATCTACCAGCACCAGGCTTTAGTTAATATTTGTTTATGTCCCTCTCTTCTTGTTCTCATGCTAGTGAGAACACTTCAACTGGTGTGAATTACCCTGACTTGAACCCATCCTCTACCTCTGCCTTTACTACTTAACTACCCATCCTCAGTATTGGAGTCTTCGTTGAAAGTAATCACTTGGCAATTCTTTCTCCTAATTCATACTTTGTGTTTGAGACTTGAGACATGGGCAAAGACAATTTCAAAAGCTTCATGGATTCAGGCTACAAAATAAACCAGAACTCCTTTTCTCCTCCTTCCTTTCATATTCAAAATCAATTCTTGAATGGTATCACCTAAAGGACAAATGAAAAGTATCTATTAAGTTTCCATTGATTGGCAAGACAAGGCTCAGTGGGGGCAGCATGGACCTTGTCCCATTCACAAATCTGAAACCAGAATCATGTCTTGGTTTTTCCCAGCCTGGCTAGAAATAGAAGTTTGCTTCTGACCAGACACCCAGGCAGCTTTTCTGTCCTCGAATTCAATGTTATGTGGACTTAAAGTTCCCAAAGGAGAAATGACAAGGTGGCATCAAAACACAGCCAAAGGGAATTTCACTTTTATTCATCACTCATCTTTGTTTCCAGTTATTAGTGAAAAAGAAACTAAAACTAACATATCAATGCGGTAGCGTGAGCAGGCAGGCTGAGTAGAGTGGAGTGTGTGTGACTGTGCATCCATGCTTGCGTGTAAGTATACATACACATAAATATATGCATGCACACCCTGTGAGCAAATGACAGTCCAGCTATCAACAGTCATTCTAGCATTGGGTCAAGTTATCTCTACCTTCTAGAAATGGTAAAATTCAAGGTTCTATAGGGTTAGAACTTAATCTGCTCCAGATCAGAGGCCCACATTGTACATTTCAGAAAGTGGCATTCTGTGTTTTCTCCATTGTTGATGCTGGGTCAACCCCAATTTCCTTACAGATAATGCTGACAATCAGTAAGAAGAGTCCAGAAAATCCCCCAAAGGTCCCAGCATCAGTCCACACCACAGGGCACATGGAAGCATTGAAAGGGAAAATTGTTACCTGATATCTCATTTCTATGTGGCACTTTGCCTGTGTAGATTTTAGCTGAGCAAGAGTTAAAAACAAATCTAAGTGTTTTAAAATGTTTGCTTTTGGTTTTGGTTTTGCTTTGCTTTGTTTTGCTGAATACTAGTGGCCCCAAACTGTAATCCTAGCTATTCAGAAGGCTGAGATCTGAGGATTGTGGTTTGAAGCCAACAGGGGCAGAAAAGTCCGTGAGACTCTTATCTCTAATAAACTACTCAGAAAAAGCTGGAAGTAGAGCTGTGGCTCAATGGTAGAGTGCTAGCATTGAGCAAAAAGAAGCTCAGAGACAGTACCTAGGCCCTCAGTTCAAGCCCCAGGACCAAAACAAAACAAACAACAACAAGGACAACAAAATACATTTCAAATGTTTCTACCTTCTAAAAGATGTTTCAAGAGCAAGACTAGAAACTTAGGTATATGAAATTCAAATTTTACTGTTCATTAAAATTGTTGATCCCACAACTCCTGTGGAAATTGTATGTTCAGAGCTTGAGAAGGCATCCAAACTCGCCCTTGAAACACTGGTATAGCAGGAGCTCTGGCTAGCATTCATAAGGACTGAGATAGGCTGAAAGGAAAGCCAGAACAATGATGAACAGGGATCAATGTTGAAAACAGCTCAGTGTCTACTGAGGCGTAGAGGAAAGGCAATGAATAGAGACCACTGAGTGTCTGAGAGATCTGGTTTTCTTTAGTTTCTTCGTTAATGATTGGGAACAAGGCTTACACATTCTGCTAATAATGTTTTTGGCTGGTGCTAAGTTAGGAGGTGCAGCAGACATCACTGAGGACACAGAAGGAACACAGATGGATTGAAGGAGGGGGGAAAGAGTCCTGAAATATGAAGAGACATGATTACCATAAGATTTGATTTAGGAAAAGTGTAAATGAAAGCAGCTGGGGAAGAAATCATCCAAAATGCAAAATGATCAGCAAGCTGGGAAACCTGGAAAGCAGCAACAGAAGAGCATCTGGCAGGAGAGCAAGGGGATAAAGAATAAGCTGCAACAACATGCTGTCCCAGCACAAATAGCAGGTGGTAGGTACAGAAAAGATACTTGTGCATTCTGAGGACCCTAAGCTGGGATAGCTTGTATTTCTAGGAGAAAAGGAGGCTGGTAGGAAACAAGATGTATGCTTAAGGAGTTTGCTCTAACCATCGCTCTTCTAATGACCCTCTTCATGAAAAGGAGCAGAATGAAACACAGAGCTTAAGAATACATTTCCAAATAGATTACCCATATTCTGGAGTCCACACAAGCTTTATTTTCAATAAACCTATAAGATCTTCAATAAACCTTGCAATATAGGTACACAGCTAAGTTAACACAGAAAACCTGGAAGTTATCTACTTATCAGCCCATCCCACCCCCCGGCAAGTAGATCCTTAAATACCCAATTCTTAGTGCCCTCAAAGTACAAAAATATTTTGTTTACAAAAATTTGCTTACCCGAAAAATGCAGATAAGACCCACATTAATAACCTGGTGCTGGTGGCTCAGACCTGTAATTCTAGCCACTCAGAAGGCTGAGAAGTGAGGATCATGGTTTAAAGCCATTCCAAGCAGAACAAGACTGCTAGACTCTTATTTCCAGTTAGACAGCAAAAAAGCAGAAGTGAAGATGTAGTTCAAGCACTAGAGTGCCAGCTTTAAGTGGAAGGAAAAGACCAAGGAAGAATGAGAGCCCTAAGTTCAAGCCCTAGTACCAGCACCAAAAAAAAATCCCCCCCCAAATCTGTATTACAAGTAAACACACAAAATGACTAAAATAGATAAATAAAACTGGGACGTGATAAACTACATAGGACCCCAGTCATTAACATACAGAGGCCAAAGGAGGCTATACATAGGAGTGGTAGACAAAGGCTCAATAGCTATGGGCACATGATCATACAAAATAATATTCTATGAAATGAACTCTAAGACAAGGAAACAAGAGACATTCTGTAGTTGCCACTGTTGCTGTTTTAGTTTTCCTTTTCTCTTGCTTGTTAGTTGGTCTGCATTTGGGAGGGTAAAGGAGGGCAAATACACGG